ACATGAAACAAAACAAAAAAAAAAAATTAAAAAAAGTAGCCTATGTTCATCAGGGACAATGTCGGCTTCTAATGGAAAAAGAATTTTTCAAATCGGTCCAGTAGTTTCGGAGCCTATTCGAAACAAACAAACAAACAAATCTTTCCTCTTTATAACATTAGTATAGATAAGTGTGGGAAATTTCATACTCCTCCGTCCGCGCAATTTTCGTAAAAAGGGATACAAAGTTTTTGCTTCACGTATTAATATTATATAAGTAGATACGATGAAAATAACAACGTATAGATTTCATTCCTTCAAGTATATATTTACCCATCACATACACGACACAGTATTAACACGTGTGTTGATAGTGTTATCACTGTTGACATAATATATGTGTTTTGTAATGTTATTGTCTTCGTAAACTCACTTCATCTCACGTTCAGCGTAAATATAAATAAATTACTGAAAAAAATTATTGTTATTTCAAAAATTCTCAGGACCGGCTCCTTTGTGATTCTAGAATAAAAATTAAAATAGTAACAATGATTTTACTAGGTAATTAGAATTGGTACAAACTAAATTAACCTAATTATAAAAATTTGGCACAACCTACATCTGTTTCAGGTTAATTATTGTAACCTTAATTCCCTTCAGCTATATTTTATACGCACTAAAGATTTCTCTTAAAGAAATAAAACTAAAACCTAAATACGAATAAAGTGAATACAGGTTTTCATGCTAAATACATGTATGTATATATATATATAGTAGTTCAACAAGTATGTACTTTCATTTATGTTGAATAAATTTTTTTTGATTTGATTTGATTTGAATGCGTTTCGGTTTGAAGGGTGGGGCAGCCGTTGTAACTATACTGAGACCTTAGAACTTATATCTCAAGGTGGGTGGCGCATTTACGTCGTAGATGTCTATGGGCTCCAGTAACCACTTAACACTAGGTGGGCTGTGAGCTCGTCCACCCATCTAGCAATAAAAATAAAAAAAGTATATCCATGTGCTAGCTATAATTATCAATAGTGAACCTTGTAGATACGTGAATTCTACTGATTTCAGCCATCAAGAGATTTCGACCTTATATCTCAAGATAGACGGCTTTTGATGGATTTTATAACGATATATTCAGGCTGTGCTATCTATAGGCCCACATAACTACTTAACATAAACGAACTCACAGCCCACCCGATTTTAAGTGTCTACTGAAATCCCATAGACAACCAGGTGAACGTCGCTGTTCAGCATGGTAAAGTTCTAAGTGTGGTAAAGTATGATAGGTTCATCATTATTAAATAATCTTAGTGTTACCTCATGCTATATGATATTAATATGCTAGTATGAAAATATCGACTTGTTCATCGGTGAATTATTTAGGACGATTGAATTGAACAATAAATAGACAGCAATAAAACTCAATCGGCTATGTCTATAGAGTAGATACTGTTTCTGGATAGTTCGTCGTGAAATTGGCGGATGTTCGGCTAATAATTAAAATATCAGTGAACTTTGTGAGTGATTCCGGCAGATGGTTCGCCTCACGACAGATTTAGACAATGTCTTCGGTCGAGAGGCCTAAATCTTTACAACTTTCACAAGCGATACGATATTTCCTGAAACGCCCGTTTTTTTTTTTTCAAATCTTATCTTATCTTATGTCTTTAAACGAGCAATTATTGTAAATATATATATAATCTGAATCTCGGAAACGGCTCCAACGAATTTCATAAAATTTAGTATACAGGGGATTTCGGGGGCGATAAATCGATCTAGCTACGATTTATTTTCAGAAAATGTTGTTTTATTTGTGTTTTCAATAATCAACTTTATCGATAATCAACTTAAACATAAACTTTTTATTTTGAAAGAAAATAACAAATAATATAATATAATATCAATATATAATTCGTATTTAAATATAATTTCAAAAAAATACAGTTAGTAAAAAAAACGAGGACACTTTAAAAAATTAAACATTCAAAAATTATCATTAAAAATTAATTATAATTCAACTATTCAATTCAAATAGACGCTCATAGGTGCTTTTAAATCGGCATGACTTTACCAGAGCTTTGGAGTCTCACCGCTGAGAAAACCTGAAAAGAAAGAAGGATAAGATGTCCAGTGTATTCGTGTCGAGCGATGCAAAGGTATTCGAATCCCGCAGGCGGGTACCAATTTTTCTAATGAAATACGTACTTAACAAATGTTCACGATTGACTTCCGCGGTGAAGGAATAATATCGTGTAATAAAAAATCAAACGTGTGAAATTATAATTTGCGTAATTACTGGTGGAGTAGGACCTCTTTTGAGTCTGCACGGGTAGGTACCAACCACCACCCTGCCTATTTCTGCCATGAAGCAGTAATGCGTTTCGGTTGGAAGGGTGGGGCAGCCGTTGTACTGTAAAACGGGAACTTAAACCTTATGTCTCAAGATGGGTGGTAGTATCTACGTTGTTGATGTCTATGGGATTCAGTGACCAATTAACAACAAGTGGACCGTGAGCTTGCCCACCCACATAAGCATAAAATATATATAAATATATATCACAATACCGTAAAAGGCGGAAGCTAAATATGAAGAGCCGATTGGCTTGTGGGTATTTTAGTAGTTGGCTCGTAGTACCGAGCGTAGGTCGCCACGAATGCTCTAATTCTATAACAAACAGCTTCTATTTCTAATGGCGTTATGGACGCTAAAGTTGGCCTGTTTGTCATTCGATTAATTACAGTTGATTACATTAGGGGTTAAAGTATGAAATGAACCGACTTGTACTGAAAAATTGAAATTCGTTTTTTTTATTTCTTTAACATATTTATTTCATCAAAATATCTACCATTATTATCTATATATTGCTGCCATCTAATACGAAAGACATTGATGCCTTTACGATAGAACTCTGGTGATCTAGATTCTACAAACTGTGGCGGTAGCCATCATACAACGCAAGATATTTGACAGATGCCTGAATCTCGCTTACGACATTTTCAAGAAAAGCTGCATATATACAAGTTCCGAACAACAATATTCAGACCGTCGGTCTATCGAGCAATGTCGCCCGCTTGGTGGAAAGTCTTCTTTTCGTTAAGACGTACCTACACAAACTGTGTAAGAGCATTTCACTGGTGGTAGGACTTCTTGGGAGACCGCCCGGGTAGTAGGTACCACCACCCAGCCTATTTCCGCCGTGAAGCAGTAATGCGTTTCGGTTCGAAGGGTGCATGCATTTGAAAATGCAAGGCAAATTTCAACACATGTTTCTTTCTGCAGATCAGTCAAATAATGAGGCACCCATTTTTCATATTTTTTATTTATTTTATTAATCTAACGCAAATGAGTCCATATTGTTGGTAAGGTAACGTTAAACCATTCCGCTAATTACTGGGTAGTTTGGCTCGGATCGGCTTCCACCATCTCTTTCAATTCATTGTTGTTCAAATGTCCTAGAGACACACAGTATCTGGAAGCCTCGATTATAATATTATTGTGCACTGCAATAGTGGACAGGAACTCAAAGTACATCCCAGCCGTGGACGTAGACAATAATCAAGCAAGCTCTTTTACGCATCACACGCAAATAAAAAGAAACATAATACATAATAAGTCGTCGTGGCCTAACGGATAAGACGTCCAGTCCTCCAGACGTCCAGGCGGGTACCAATTTTTCTAATGAAATATGTACCTACTCAACAAATGTTCACGATTATTTCCACGGTGAAGGAATAACACCGTGTAATAAAAATGAAACCCGCAAAATTATAATTTGCGTAATTACTGGTGGTAGGACCTCTTGAGAGTCCGCGCGGGTCGGTACCACTACCCTGCCTATTTCTGCCGTGAAGCAGTAATGCGTTTCGGTTTGAAGGGTGGGGCAGGCGTTGTAACTATACTTGAGACCTTAGAACTTATATCTCAAGCATTTACGTTGGATGTCTATGGGCTCCAGTAACCACTTAACACCAGGTGGGCTGTGAGCTCGTCCACCCATCTAAGCAATAAAAATAAATAAATAAAGTAATTAAAAAATATATTGTTAGCTATTTACCCAAATCCAAACAGTGTTTTGGTTACCTATTGTATTTCTGTATATTCGTAAACGTTAATCTCTGAACAGAGTTCGACTAAGCCTTTATTTTCCTGTAGTTAATATTTAGGAAAATCATGTACGTGTTCCCTACGTTCGGGATGGCACGTGCCCACTCCCATTTATAATAAACGAATAATAATAGGAATATCTCAAAAATAGCATAACAGAAACTGTTATCTCATGTCTCCATATGTAAATGAATTTATGTTTTAATTGCTTATTTACTAGTGACCGAGCTCAAGACCCATGTGGTGGCAAACGGCTAACGAAGCCCTTGGACATCATCAGTGATGAGACATCATAAAACATTGGCGGTTGCACCAATCTACCCTCAGGGGAGAACTACTTCTGGTGGTGGTAGTACCTCTTGTGAGTCCGTATGAGTAGTTACCACCACCTTGCCTATTTCTGCCGTGAAGCAGTAATGCGTTTCGCTTTGAAGGGTGGGGCAGCCGTTGCAACTATACTGAGACCTTAGAACTCAAATTTCAAGGTGGGGGTGGCATTTACATTATAGATGTCTATGGGCTCAGGTAACCACTTAACACTAGATGGGCTGTGAGCTCGTCCAGTCATCTATGTAAGTTTTTTTTTCATTCAATACGACTGTATTGTGTGTCTTACCTAACTTAACTTACACTTTAAGACACAATGACGCGAACTCCAATGTGGTACACATTTCCGACTGCCCATTCTTATAACTGCGTCAATATATTACTAACAGACTGTCAAATTGTACAAGTTAACATACTTCAGAAATCTGATAATAAAGTGGTAAGTTTCCAGTTTTCAACCTTTAAATGTATAATAGCTCCGCCCGATACGGCTTAGCCTCAACCGCTTAGTAACATAATTAATTATACCAAGGTAAATAATAATTATCGTAAATAAATAGACCAATGTATTCCTAAATCGAATTTATTTAATAGCATCTCTATAAATAGCTATGTACAATATTTACATTTCAAAATATACACAGAGAGAGAAATGAGTTAATTTCGAATCATCTCATAAGTATGTGAGTGAACAGTATCGCAAGTGTTGTATAGTATTCTTGATGAATCGTTAAGCCGCTCCCGACTTGCGCTACTGCTGTCTCGTCTCGTTGCATCGCATCTATTGGACTCGCTGAAATTAGAATAAAAAGATTAAAAGACATTATGCCGTCCTTAAAGCCTGAAATAATATCACACAGGATTATACGATATTTTTAGTGGGTCCTTTTTTCAATTATTTATATACCTACTGTTATTTATAGATATTGTATTTCTAAAATTATATTTAGATTTAGATAGATATTTAGATTTAGAATATATGTGTCTGTTCTTTGACAAGCTCTTTAGTTTGAAAAGCTTCTAAAATTTAAGCATTGTATTATCTTCGGATGTCGTTAAATTCTATTTATAAATAACGGAAGTGACAAATAGTGGTGCATGATAAAACACATAGCTTTATGGCTGCCGGTCATCAGGTCTGCTCCAGAATTATAGACTGGTAAGTACAATAGAAATAGCGACATGAGTCAGGACAAAAAAAGGAGGCTTTTCTTAAATTAGACTAGAATGGCCAAGGAATAGTTTAATGCTGAGACCTCTCTTAAAATCCAGTTCGAATAAGGACCATGAGGAACGAGGAAACACCCTGGAACCGCATTCTACAGGGTAATTGAAACTTCGACTTCACAATTGAAGCGGTATGGCGTTATTTACTTTGGGGAGTCTATGAGTTGTGCTGACCGCCCATGAAACCACATGAAACCAACTGCATAACATAACTTTACGGTGAACACGACAAGTGTACGATCTTCGCAAACACATCGAGGTCGTCGTGGCCTAACGGATAAAGCGTCCGGTGCATTCGTGTTGAGCGATGCACCGGTGTTCGAATCTCAGGCGGGTACCAATTTTTCTAATGAAATACGTACTCAACAAATGTTCACGATTGATTTCCACGGTGAAGGAATAACATCTTGTTATTAAAATGAAGCCAGCAAAATTACAATTTGCGTAATTACTAATGGTAGGATCTCTGTGAGTCCGCGCGGGTGGGTACCACCACCCTGCCTATTTCTGCCGTGAAGCAGTAATGCGTTTCGGTTTGAAGGGTGGGGCAGCCATTGTAACTATACTTGAAACCTTAAAACTTATGGCGCATTTACATTGTGGATTTCTATTGGTTCCAGTAACCACTTAACACCAGGTGGGCTGTGAGCTCGTCCACCCATCTACGCAAACAAAAAAAACGTGTTTAGAAACTATATTTTCTGTCATTTCATCGGCCTGTTTACAATGATTTCAAAATGATACCGTGTCAAGGTCCTATCTCGTGTCTACCTAACCAATTGTGATTCGATCGAAAAATAGCTCGCGTTGTTTAAACTGAATTTTGTTTACAAGAAATTTGAAAGACAAGAACATTACGTTGAATTTAAAATCAAAAAATCAGCGCTGGAGAATGCTCTAGGATTGTGTTTTGAAAATTAAACAGCGCACAATAGTCTTCAGGGTTTTGCTGTGAAAACTGTGTGTATTTGGCTGTGGAGCAGGATGATTACGTGATCAATCATTCGCCCTAACTAACTTACACGTCCCATTTACAATGTCACATTTAAATCCCAAGGTTAGTCTATATAAAATATTTTATTTTTATTTAGATGAGTGGGCAAGGTCGTTTGCCGTCAGGCAATAAGCAGCTACAAAACAGATTCTATACACGTCACATCGGGAATATCGCCAGCTATCTTAAGACATTAAGCCTTTGATTCGTGGTGGAAATAGGAATAGTATATAATAACGTTCCGTGCGAGATCGCGACATGTAATTCCTCAGTAGCTAGTACTTACGCTGGTCATCGACAGTGAGCGATATAGTAGCGGAATGTCCCAGCACGGTGCATGAATATCGGCCAGAGTCCCGCCGGCGCAGCGCTCCCAACGTCAGGCGAGAGATAGCGCCGCCAGTCCACCGCTCCGTGTCCAAGGAAACACCACCACGACCAGTCTGTGGGAGCATTGGAGCATCACAAATAAGAATCAAATACGTAGGGTAAGTTAGATAACGCCGGTTTATAGCGTGGACATAGACCAGCGCGAGCTCTTTCTATTAATGGTCTTTTTTTATTGTACCTACTGTATTTTTATTGTATTGTACAGTCCACCTGATGGCGGGTAGTTATCGTCGCCCATGGACTTCAGCAATGCCAGGGGCATAACGAAGCCGCTGCCTAAAATAATTTGATAAAAATATTCCTCTGTAAACTTTTATTTCTTTGATAGACATTGCTAGCACCTGCATGTTATTTATTACGTCATATACAAGTTTATACATTTCTCATCAGTGGTATTAGAAATTTAAACATCACACATAGAAATTTACAAACACGCATATACGAAATCACCGTTACACACATTCTTTTCAACACGTCGTCCAAAACTACACAATAGTAAAAACGACAAAATAATTATCGCTATTTTTATTACAAAGTAGTGGAAAACATATTGATAGAATTTAAAAAGTTGGCGGGCGAAATACCGCGGCGTGCCCACATTGGTCGCGTTGCCAAATTATTTGGCCTCGGGGTGGGCACGCCCGGATACATTTACACGCATTCAACTTGCTTCCTCACACACAATATTATACATTCGGTACTAAATGAACGGAAGTTTGTTTATTAATGCGTTGGTGATCACCAATAATTTAACCAAAAATCTAGTCAATTTTTTTAATTATGTGGGTGAATGATCTCACGGCCCACTCGGTGTTAAGTGATTACCCAAGGACGTAAACATCTGGAATCCATGACAGCTGTAGGGCGCGAAAATAGGTCTGATGATGGTACCTGCCCCCGCGCACTACCACCAGTAATAATGTGAATGTATACCTAACTATAACCATTCTTAAAGTAAGCCAGTTACTTTCTCCGCATAGATAAAATCTGCGAATACCGGAATCGCAATCACATTTTTGTTTCAATTTATTCTGTTTGGAGATTTATTTAATAGAGATTTTCTGATATAATTTAACTATAATAGGTCGTGTATCATTTATCCACTACAAAAAATCGTGTTAAAAAAACAATGTGCTACCATCAATCTATCCAGAAACATACGCATCCGATGGAAAATCTTACCACTCTCCCTCTCCCCTGTAGTTGTTCCAGCTACCAACAACATAGTACGTACATAGTTTAAAAAATTCCAACTCTTGGTTGAGAGACATATAGGAAACTCCACCGATTGTCCGTTTATGTCTAAAGCTAAATGTATGGATCCTATCGGTGCCATGGTAAGAGAAACGAACCTCAGATGACATTTGTCGTGTGTATTATAAGAGTGTAGTACTATGCTGTTTATTAGTCGCAAGCACGCGGAGTTCATGTCATTGCTCTTGTTTGTGGGACGCGGCTACAGCTGCCAACTTTCTGATTGATTTTCAACAACAAAAATACTAGTTAGAAATAATAGCTGTAGATCTGTAATTGCGTGATTTTTAATATCAGACACGGCACGTGTCACGATCGTCTGAGATGTGCCTTAAGATTTAGAATCTGAATAAACATTGAGCCCTCTAGGATTTTATTGTAATCTAAAAAAAAAATTACGATTTTATATAATTTTACCATACCATACTATATTTTTTTCATTTTATTGTGTCGAAAAAAACATAAGTCGTAAACAGATTTCCACTTCTATTTGGCCAGTGCTGTCAGAATCTAAATTGATTAACTAATTAAAACAATTAAATTATTTTCCTGAATTTGTTTCAGTCGTTGTGTTAATGTCTAATAAAGTTGACCTTTATTTAAGAAGGAACCATCTGTTGAAAATTAAATATCTTAGTTTAAGATAAATAGGCAAGTAGAGATATCGGAAGGTTAGTTCCACCACCTTCCCAACCCTGCTCATTTTTGCGGCATGTCAAGTGTAAGTACCAAATAGAAATCTAACTATAGTGTAGTAGCTGTACCATAGCAGTTGTACCACGGAGTTCCTATTCTCTCAGCTCTACACCAGTCCAATAAAAGTGAACCTGTGACCTAGTGGCTACGTAGTTATCATACTAATAGCCAAAAAAAAAACGAATAAATTATTTGTATTTGTGTGTGTCGTAACCGACTTGTGACATCCACAAATCACAAATCGAGAGCTTGGCACCTCATCAGAGGAACTTCTCGTAATGAATTCTGTAATTACATATCCGAGACGCCGTGCGCAGCTTTTATCTGTACTGTCTTTAGCAATCATGAAGCATAAAGAGTAATAGTGATAGGTGAATCTATAAATACTCCGTTGATTAATATATTATACTAGACTTTACTTTAACTTTTACATTTAACTATACAATTTATAATTTTGGATGTTTCGGTATCCGATTTTTAATATCGTCTACTATCGGACAAAGGATCTCGTAGACGTAAAGCCTAATAAATGCATTAAGACGACAACACTACATCACCCTTGAAACAGGAACTTTGTGCAGCGCTGCGATGTGGCAGTAAGAGCTTATTGAGAACTTTGTTTATATGTATAAATATGAACTGTTAGGTTATACGTTAATTTATTTTTAAAGACCATAGACATCGGATACGTGATTACCGCAATGAACTTTGGACGTGAGATTGAGGTCTCAAATCGTATTACAGAAGCTTTACCCTCTAAATAGTAGTGCAGGGCTTCTGTGCAAAAATAGACAAGATGTTATGGTACCTGTGTGGGATTACAATATGCTGTAGTTTTTTTACGATTATCAAAAACAGCAAAACAATTAAAAGATTGAGTGGTCCATTACATAGCATTACCTGTAAGTTGATAAGTTGGTCGCCTTTTTGCCAGCGTATTTCAAGGGGTGGTAAGGGTAGCGCCCCGGGCGGGGGGTCGTATCGCGCCTCGCATGTCAAGGTCACAGCGCTACCGATCGTCCCATGCATCACCTCTCTCAGGGTCTTCAGCACTGGAACTGGTATTGGCTCATCTGTAAAAGTAAAGAAAATGAATTTCCCCTTTAACATTGTCTTTCTTGAATCCACGAATACATATTATTAGGGAATGATATTCCACCCCGCTTAGCTTAATAGGCAGTTATACCGGTAAGAGCAACGCCAGCTATCGTCGAATAGCAAAAACGAATATAATCAAAAGAACTAGTAAAATCGAGAACGCTCGAGAAGTACAACGCCATCTATTGTTAAATGGCGGAAACGCGTATCGAAAATACTCGACTCGTGAGGAATGTTCTCGATAATTCTAGGGGCGTGGTATCGACTATAAAAGCGTTGCAGTGCAGGAGACAGTTAGTAATCGGAAGTACTCGAAGCGAAACCGCGAACGGATCATCTGAAGCAAAGCGGAAGAAGCGAATTAGGAATTGTTAAGTGCTCTGTAAGTATTTTAACTGTTAATACAGTTTTAATTTGAACTTTGGTAGAATTTTTATTTATTTCCGAACCCCAACGCGTAACAATATTAAGTCTTATACATTATTCAGTCAATGGTTAACGTGCAGCGATCCACCACGGTTGCTGACGCGAATAAACATGTAATTATACTTAGTGTTTTATTGACCGCTGCAATGAGGTTTCCGAAGGACAATACACACAACGCATAATAACCCCACCACACAAACCTCACACTGATGACCCCGACGTGTACTATTCCCCTACACATACATATAAGGCCCTTTCGGCGACAATACCTCCTATAAACTAGCTCTAACTATATACCATTTCTATTTCTACTACAAACTATTTCTATCTTCATGATGCATACTAAAATATTGAAATAAACGTAAAGTATGTAACAAGTGAACGGAAAATTAACTGACAACCGATGACACGCCACACAAATAGACCTGAGTCACATAGTCAAAGAGAAACTCTAAAATTAGACATTCCTGACGAAATCTCATAGGAACGTTACTATAATGCGTTCGTGACCCAGCAATGGCACGCGTGCCTCTTGTGTTTACGTGTTCGACACGGATCCGGAAATTCACTAAATTGATATTCATGTAAGGATTAGTATTTATATACTTTCTGCTGCTAACAATGAAAATGAAGCTAACAACGAACTTAGGCCTTAAAAGTTGCTTACATTAATATTTTTATGACCTCATATCCCCTCTATAATCTTATTGCCCCGTAGTCAATTCTGTTGCAAACTTTAATGCATACAACCTTAGTCATCACTTTCCAAGAAGCATTTAATTTTAATTCAAATTGACAGGATAGAGCAGCGACAGAAATCAAGGCATCTTGGAAATTTGAGGTAAATTTTCCTAAATGTATTTTAAAAATCATTTGCGAATACCTCATGTGAATAAAGATGCTCCATTTTTTTTTTAAAAGCTTCTAAAACTTACCTAACACAGTAAGGTTGAAGAACTTGCTCATTTTAGGTTCCATGTTGACCTGGCACTCATAGCGTCCAGCATCAGTGGTCCGAAGCCTCTCGATTCTCAAGGTATGCCGGCTAGAGCCACTGCCTCCCCGGGACGACGTCGCAGAAACACGCGCGTCTGCTGTGAAAACTGACCCTGCATGAGACAGGATTTGAAGGTCACTGGATCTTACCCAAGATACCTGCGGACAATCAAGAAAATTTGTTGTATGATTCTCATATAGTCTAGATATACCGCCATTCTCGCATCTATCTCAGCTGTGGGTTTATTTGTCGAGAAGACCACCTTAATGGAAAAGACATATTTGGCACATCGGTTTATTGACAATAAATAGCACAATAACCCAAACTTTTGAGATCTTGTCGAGCTCTTCTGGCATGAGAATTAGTTTTAAAGCAAATAAAAAGTATGTCTAAGAATAAAACATTTCGAAACCTGCTATTTTCATCAGTCATCAAGCAGCGCCTAGCAACAGGGACTGAATATCCTGGCAGAGTGCCTTGGCTAATCACTACACTACTGTGCGAGTCGCAGCTATTGTAGCTGACAATTATAAGCTACTAATGTGTTTCGAGCTGATTTTTTTAAAATAACTTTAGTTATAGTCAAACTTCATTAGAAGATGGGACTTCTAGAAGGAAATGACTAATTACTGGACCCTTTTTGGATGTTTACTTTATATTATGATTATATATTATGTGGCGCCAATTATTTATCTATAGCTACCTATTCACGCCATTAACATAGTTAAAACATTACCATCATGCTGTAAAAGTTTTGCTCCTATTAAGAATACTAGAATCATTGGAACGAAGTTCCTTATGGAACGATGCGGAAAGGTACCCTAACCGGGAAAAAACGTCCGTAACGTAAGATTTTTAGTAGTAATGCACACAGTGTACGTCTTAACTTTGTAATAACGTACAAAAAATAACATATTTTTTTATCATTCATTGACCACGATCTCAGAGCGTTCGTTTACGCAATACACTAACTCTTATGCAAACTGCCGTGAATGAAGTGTACCACAATAAGTTCGCACGTTACCGAATGACCGTGGATTGTTGCGAAGCCTCCAGTTTTATTTTCTTTATACCTCGAATATAACTTAAAATTAATATTTTAATAATAAGGAACTTCGTTCCTATCCGGTGTCCACGACACTACACATATTTTTCCTATTCTCATTTTATGAATCTTAAAAAAAATTAGGTAACCATGAACCTAGCGATAGGATGTGGCTACGGTAGCCTATGGAGATCAGTAAGCTCAGGCACATAGCCGGTCTATTCCGAGCGATTTCCCAAAGCTTGGTTTGAATAAAGAATGAAATTAACACGGGTAATACGCAAGGCAAAAATTCTGCCCACGCTAGTGAAAGTGTGTAGTTGCGAATGCCAGCAGTTGGCACTAGATACTTCCGGCAAGCTCCGTAGTAAGGGGCGAGGTACGAGGCGTGGGGCGACTCTAAATAAAGCTCCCGTGCAGCTTTTTATAAACCAGTGGAGTTACCAGTTTAATTACACTGAAATTATTGGTGTAGGTTTGAAAATATCGGTAATTTTATCGGAATTTCGCGAACAGTTGCCATGATTTAAGACAAATTCAAGGTTTAATTTCACATAGCACTGGTTATAATTAGGAAAAATATCAGGAATTAGAGTTGAGTAAAAAAAAAGACGAGATTATATTTAAGAGTAATAAGGTTTTTTGGTTGATGGAAAAATTTTGAAATGGTTTGAAAAACTTGCAACTTTTGTCTTATATAAAAATATGTTGCAATATTTTTTATTTTATCGTGTAGACAAGAGAACTAGCTCACGACTCATCCTGTGTTAAGCGGTTGTCGACTATGTACTACGTTATGAAATATCAAAAAGGGACTTGGATCCGGGACAATACTGAAGAACAACAGGAAATATTCTGATTAGCTTAGTTTGAAACCCGTTTGAAAAGACAAGCCCATTAAGCATTGAATTCGCCCTTAAAAAAAGCTAATACATACACATACACAATACATTTAGGACTAATTTGACAAGTGATAGGGTGTGATCCTGCCAAATTTTGTCGCGAAGCACTCATGCGCCCAGGTGTGAAAGGACGCGAGTGAGACCATGGCCTCAGGCCATTCTCATTGTGATGTGTTTGAATTGAACACTGAACCACTGTGATTTACAAGGAATAGACTGTAATCAACAAGTCAATAAATACGCCAAGCTGGTCTAAGCAAACATTTATTTTTCAATTAATTCAACCAAGGCCCACTCGGCTGGCAACCTTGGCTCCATAGTGTCGTTGACCGACATTTTTGGAACGCTTTCGCCCAGTGTCAGCTGTCCGTTTTTATTCCACGTCCACGTGTCCCGGACGCCCCCGCCTCACGTAAATCCATCCGCCTATATCAGGCAAGGCGGTGATTTTCTCAATCAACTTCAGTAGGTACGTTTGGATTTTTTGGCTTTGATCCTATGTTGAAGTATGCGTGGTATTGATTGATTTATGCAACTTGGAAATGACATAGAAACTTCTAGGCATGGATAAAATCATGCATTATATGAATGTATCACTAGTGCTAATTGAACTTTGAATGTATTTGAGATACGAAATTAGAAGTAAGTAGGTAAATGGGAAATTTTATTCTATCGACTTAATGTCATTAAGGGTACCAACCTCTCTTCTGAATTAAATGTATTTCAGATAAATCTAGTTCAGCTTTTATGACTTTAAGTGATTTCCCGCGCCGCTGCTTCATTTTATACTAATATTATTTGAATCGGTTTTCATTACCAAATCATAGTTTTTATTTATGGCGCGGAACTCTAATTCTTTTTTCATGCTGCTTTTAGCAGCCTAAGCTAATCAGTATTACGTCAATTATCCGTCACACACGTCACATCTTTCCAAGGTATTTCGACGCTTATTTCGACCCTGAATGACGTAACACGTAACGAAGTTGCATTCAGCCGCATTTTCCCAATATTCGCGAGACAGTTTAAGAAAATAAAAACAATGTGCTTCCGTATTGTTTATCAAATAACTTGCAAATATAAATGGCAGAGATCACAATTTGCACTCCGAATCATGAAACGCGTGAATAACCATAATTGATGGACATATTATCGAGTTTGACGTCGTTGTATGAACGCATACCGCATCAGGTACTGCGTGTCGGAATTTCTGACTAAACGCCTACAGTTGAAATGGAAGAGATTCGGTCACTTGTTTTGTTTTATACCATGTATTTGAAACGATTTCATCACTGGTGGTAGGACCTCTTGGGAGTCTACACGGGTAGGTACCACCACCCCGCCCATTTCCGCCGTGAAGCAGTAATGCGTTTCGGTTTGAAGGGTGGGGTAGCCATTGTAACTATACTGAGACCTTAGAACTTATATCTCGAGGTGGGTGGCGCATTTACGTTGTAGATGTTTATGGGCTCCTAGGCTCCAGTAACCACTTAACACTAGGTGGGCTGTGAGGTCGTCCACCCATCTAAGCAATAAAAAAAAAAAAAAACTACCTCTTAGCACCAGGTTAGCCGTGAACTTATTCCGCTTCTGGAGCGGTAAAAATGGCTAAGTCTCCGAGCTAAATAATTGTGACCCGCAGTAAAACAGAATTACTCAAATATACTCAGATATATTATACTCACAGATTTATCACCTAAACGAAGCACTCGGCACTCCAAGGCGGCTGTTTGTCCAACAGCAGCGATGAGTGAATCTCTCTGTCGAGGGGCAAAGGCCGGGCCTGTGCCTTCAGTCACCGACACAACCTCTCCGTCGGCACACCATCGCGAAATACCTGTAATATTCAAATTATTTCAGACTAGCTGACCCGGCAGACTTTGTAGTGCCTCAATCTATAAATAAAAGACCAAAACTTTTGTATAAAATAAACTTAACAAACAAAAGGAATCCGTTCGACGGAGGCCACATAAAAGGAAAAACAAAATTGTTATTTTTATTGAATTCCGAGCATTTTCATATTTATCTACCTTTTAAACCTTCTCTGGACTTCCACAAATAATTCAAGACCAAAATTAACCAAATCGGTCCAGCCGTTCTCGAGTTTTAGCGAGACTAACGAACAGCAATTTATTTTTATATATAGAGATATATAGATAATATTAATTATGTATTTTGAGACAGCATTTAGGTTTAAACATTTCATTATCCACTAGAAGTAACTGACCAATTCCACGAGATACATCTGAGGATCGCTTGATCCGGGAGATCGTCTGCCTAAGTTTGTTAGTTTTTTTTTTATTGCTTAGATGGGTGGATGTAGTCGTCGTGGCCTAAAGGATAAGACGTCCGGTGCATTCGTGTTGAGCGATGCACCGGTGTTCGAATCCCGCAGGCGGGTACTAATTTTTCTAATGAAATATGTACTTAACAAATGTTCACGATTGACTTCCACGGTGAAGAAATAACATCGTGTAATAAAAATCAAACCCGCAAAATTATAATTTGCGTAATTACTGGTGGTAGGACCTCTAGTGAGTCCACGCGGGTAGGTACCGTCCAGGCGGGTAGATCGTCCATCAATCTAAGCAATAAAAAAAAAACGAGCTCACAGCCCACCTGGTGTTAAGTGGTCACTGGAGCCCACATCTACAACGTAAATGCGCCACCCAGCTTGAGACATAAGTTCTAAGGTGTCAGTATAGTTACAACGGCTGCCTCACCCTTCAAACCGAAACGCATCACTACTTCACGGCAGAAATAGGCGAGGTGGTGGTACCTACCCGTGCGGACTCACAAGAGGTCCTACCACCAATAATTACGCAAATTTTGCGGGTTTGATATTTACTACACGATGTGATTCCTTCATCGTGGAAGTCAATCGTGAACATTGGTTAAGTACGTATTTCATTAGAAAAATTTATACCCGTCTGCGGGATTCGAACACCGGTGCATCGCTAGATACCAATGTACCGGACGTCTTAGCCTTTAGGCCACGACGACTCAACATTTCTACTGCGATGCACCCATACTTTACGTTTCCAAGACTCACAAGAGGTCCTACCACCAGTAACCAGTTTGCTAGTATTTAAAAACAGTCTAGAATGCCTCATTTAGATTTACATTTTAGAACTTCTCCCAATATTGCTTGTTCACAATCGAGATCACTTTGCGAAGCGTGTTCTAATTATGTTTGCCATGTACCTACGTATTTTATATTCGTACGCAATAAAATCTGTACCCTACTCCATAAAGACCAAAACAAACTGTAAGGACAAATCGCAGTTCGCGAGTGCAGGGCTTAGGGCGCGGGGCAAGGACGGGCTATGAATGGATGGTGACGTCATCGGGAGCTTGTGCACCAAACAGGCGCTGTAGGGTTGATAAANTATTCTAATTATGTTTGCCATGTACCTACGTATTTTATATTCGTACGCAATAAAATCTGTACCCTACTCCATAAAGACCAAAACAAACTGTAAGGACAAATCGCAGTTCGCGAGTGCAGGGCTTAGGGCGCGGGGCAAGGACGGGCTATGAATGGATGGTGACGTCATCGGGAGCTTGTGCACCAAACAGGCGCTGTAGGGTTGATAAAGTTGTTAAAAATAAATATACTAAACGAGTCGAAAAAAAAATGTGCGGTGTCGTGGGACACCGGATAGAAACGAAGTTCCTTATTATAAAAATATTAATTTTAAGTTCTATTCGAGGTATAAAGAAAATAAAACTGGAGGTTTCGCAACAACCCACGGTCATTCGGTAACGTGCGAACTTATTGTGGTACACTTCATTCACGGTTGTTTGCTTATGAGTTAGTGTATTGCGCAAACGAACGCTCTGAGATCGTGGTCAATGAATGATAAAAAAATATATTATTTTTGTACGTTATTACAACGTTAAGTCGCACACTGTGTGCATTACTAATAAAAATCTTACGTTACGGACGTTTTTTCTCGGTTAGGGTACCCCTCCGCGTCGTCCCATAAGGAACTTCGTTCCAAAAATAATTTTATCCAGTGTTTCAACATTTATCTATTACCTATCTTTTTTTTAGTTTTTTGAGTAATTCAACATATATTTCGCTCGATATAAATATTTTATAAATAGGCAGTTTTTTTTTAGCACAAAGCATGTGATTATGGTTTTTTTTTTCTATTTGGGAACTGATTGTAATAAAAATGTTAACAAAATCTTAAGGTGTCAGTTAATAATTTCCATTATTAGATGAACACCATTTCGTCTGTAATTACGTTTCCAAGAGACATTTAAAAATAGTTCAAGTGATCCAGCTCAACATTAAAGTCAGTCAAAAAATATGTATTTCTCTTCTTTTAACATTTATACAAATAACTGTCAAAATAAATTTACCAACCCTAACAACAACATTATTAAGATGCCGATGTGTGCGGAAACTCATGAGTCATCATCTAAGATACAAGTCGCGTAAATGCATTCCTCCATTCATTGCTGCCTCGTTAACACAGCGGGGATGTCACATTATAATCAAAAGAAAAACACATTTTCCTTTGAATTAATTTAATTCCTTAATTCATTAGAGAATTTATCATTTTTATCTGAACTAGTAATCCCCCAGTAGTCGAAATACGAATGGAAATTATAAGTTGGAACATTCTTAACCATAATAATGTTCGTTAATGTTATTGTCAAGGATTATACTTCTGTAATCACAAATTTTGCCAAGACTACACTATATACAAATCAAATCAAATCAAATCAAACACCACAGACCACAATAACTAACAATAAACAAATTAGTATTTATGTGTGTGTGTGTGTCAAATACATGAGAGTGTGTGTAATGTTTTTTTTTTGTTTTCTATATCTATAATTTCGAAAAAAATATTAGCATTCTGCACTTTTTCTCTATATTCCCTATAAGTGTGGGAAATTTCACACTCCTCCGTCCGCGCAGTTTTTGTAAAAAGAGGTACAAAGTTTTTGCTTCACGTATTAATATAACTGAATAAAAGCTTCAAAAATAAAATAAGAATCTCCTATATTGCAAACACTGCTACCTAATCTGAGACAAAAGTTCAAATTTACAATTCTAAAATAATACTAAAAATGATATGATTGAAGAGGGGAGCAATCTAAAAAGACTCGGATGTACTGTGTGAAAGAGGATATGAGATAACAGAGTGAGAGTACAGATACGAAATGATGTATGATAAGCCTGAATGGAAGAAGAGAGCTAACTGCGCCGACCCCACATACTGAGGGCAAGAAGAAGGACTAAAGATGCAGTCATTGTCTTGAATAATCCTCAAAACTCACCAGTGCCGTGGCGTACATCGCTTTGATAACTAGTTACCTAATCAGCAATTGTAACGGTTACTGATTCATGCAGCCGACAATGTCAATAATTTCAGACAGTGACAGCTTTTGAATCAACTTATTGTTAGGTGCTAAATACAATTTACCAAACTTGAACTTCTAACACTACATGAAAACATATAACATGTTTCATGTGTTTTTGATAGAAATACTACTTGATTACAACGAGTATAAATATGGAGCGTTTCAAAGCAAGAATAGGAAATAATAATGAATTTGAAAATTCCCATTGTCACCAATAGAGCCCACTCTACCTTGCACAGCCCATAATGAGTATTAGCCACTAAAACAAACGATAATCGTGTATGAGTGTGCCGCAAACGGATGCGGGCGCCACACGCACATCCGCTTGTAAAATCCTACACGTGCTCGCATCTCGACTCATTGCTAATTTGATATTGTGCGTTTTCGGTGGCCGCGGCTTTTAATTTATTTATCAGGGATCTAGTAGAGGTACAACTATAAAAGGAACTCAAAAGTTATGAACGCACTGCTCCCTCCTGACTGAACATTTGTTCGCCCACCTGTACAGGTACAACTGGAAAGGTGTCCAGGTCACCAGTAATCCTTCCTTGATAAAACAAAAGCCTTCCAGCTGTACAATGTAGAATGTACGCATCAAAGTGTAACGTTAAGTATAATAGAAATGAGCGATAAATAAAAACAACTTCGGTTATTTCATTTTTCTAATTGCTTAGTTATACGGAGGAGCTCAATCTTGGTGATAAACGGTTATTTGGGCCCTGAGACATGAACGAGGTAATGCTGCCACCCACCTGACTTGAGTTCTAAGTCTCCATTTTAGTTTTTCACGACAACTGGCCCACCCTTGCTTGCTTCACAGCAGAAATAGGTAGGTAGGGTGGTGCCTACCCGTGCGGGCTCACAAAACGCCCTGCCACCGGTAACTTATTAATTAAAAGATATTAACAATTAGCTAAATGTAGTTACAATATAATCTAACTTCATCGGACGATCATAAAATATAATTTCTCTCTTGCAAAGCGTATTTATTGTCACTTTATTTGTTATATAGTAGCGATGTGCCATTTTTATACCATTACCAAGCATGAAAAAATACAGATAAATATAATTTGTGACCAAAGAAACAATTTCTCGCAAGCATTGAACCCTTTATCTACTACAACCCCATTGGACAATAAAGCAGTGGTGCTAATAATGTACTATAATTATACTGTACTGAATTTAAGGTTGTAAAAATCGTGTCGTGATCGCCGCGGGTGGCCGACGCGAAATCCGACACGTGCTCTTAATAAGCGCGCACGTGCAAATTACAATATGAATATTACAATGCCATGATATACAAACACGAAACTTAAACTGAAGTTAGTAGCACGCTACACAGAACGCTATTGAATTTTTTTTGTGATGTTATAGTTAGGATAGTACTTAGAGATGCATAATACACCTACTTAGTTGGAATAATCTCTTAGGCTACCAGAGAATGAGTAGGGGATA